CCTGTGCAAAAAGAAAGCTGGAGTGACCCACTGAACATCTGAAAACTTTATATTCCTTTAACAAGTTACTTGTTCTCAATTCTTGGTAGTAGGCAGCTGAGTCTGGACAGCATTGACGCTTTGGGGATGAAGTTAAGAGAGGAAAGAATTTAGCTTCATCTGCAAATCTTCCTGAATCAGTCCAGTTCTGACTTGTGGCAAAAGGGGCAGAGGATAACACCCCTCTTTTCCTTCAAAGCATCTCAGTCGTCAATCCATGCTTGCCCAGAACCACCCACCAGGACCCACCTGATCTTTGACCTTGGTAACACCACCTTTGGTTCTCCAGTCCATGCTGTCAGGAATCTGCAGATTTTCTGAGGATTTGAACATGATCATGTTGTCTCTAGTTACGTTATCTGAGTCAGGAAGCAGGCAATGCAGCCTCTTGTTCAGCTCTTCATTGGTCTGAGGAGAAGAGCAGTCTTAAAGAACTCTATTTCCAGTTCCCATCTTTCTCCTTAAAAGTTTTATCCCACGATCTAATGCAAAGAATATATGTTGTGAACAAAACGATGCCCTTCTCGCCAACCCTGTTATCATAGAGGGTGTTCGTGTGTAATTGAATTAGTCTACTGTACGCATTATAATGTACGAACTCTTGATGGAGACTGCTGAGGTGGGAAAATATAATCATTTGTTCTTCTGATCTTTTCTGCTGCCTGCTACACCAATCAGCATCTTGAATGGCCTGACCAGATGTCCTCCAGGTGATTCCAAACTTATGTTTAGCATAAGTTTCAGAATTTTAGTCTGGAGTGTGGATTTAGGGATGTTTTGGTCTATGTGTGTCTGGACCAGTGGTCCATTAAGTCTACAGGGCAGGCTGGATCTGACACAGTGAAGTATTTCCATAAAGTGTAGCCTCTGAAGCGGTTAACTAACTCTCTTGCAGTTGCCCTTGGGACTCTCAGAGAGCCTCTCCCCAACTGCACCTAAGTATCCCATTGGCACAGACATGCCTCACCAACCTGTTTCGTCTTCATCTGGCCTCCAATACATACCTGAGGCAGTTTAAAGCTATATCAGCGTTAAAATGGTATTTTTTGCCTTAAGTAGGTAACAAGCCATGTGTTTTACGGGGTGTACAATTTGATGGGCTTCATTGACCGTTCAGTCAGGGTCACAGTCAGGAGACCCTGAGGGGGTGGCACCAGACCAACACCAAATCACCATCTTAGGCTGGGTCAGCTATATCCCTCCCTTCCAAACCCTGGTTCGGTCATCTAGCGGTGTTTTGTGGAGGCAACATCTTGTTCTTTTCAAACTAGGCTGTCCCCCCTGTACTTGCCAGGTCCGCAAGCTGATCCCCTCAGAGATCAGAGATATGAGCAGTGGCAATGGGAGGCCTATATGGTGAAGTAGAAAAGAGAGAGAGAGAGAGAGAGAGAGAGAGAGAGAGAGAGAGAGAGAGAGAGAGAGAG